GATAGTGGGCAATAATGGATGGTAGTGAGTGACAATGGGTGGAGGTGGGCAACAATGGTGGTGATGGGTGTTGACGATGGGCGACGGTGGTAGTAGTAATAAATATATGAATGAGATGACGATGGTGGTAGGTGGTGGCAGTGGACGACGATGGTAGGAATCGGTTGTGGTGGTGGTGGGGGTGGGGCAGTGGCAGTGGTGATGGGGTGGTGGGGTTTAAGTTCAATTATGCGAAGCATTGTAAGACGAGGGTTGTTGCAGAACGCGTGTCGAAGTACCTTACAGGATGCGAGTGGTATGTTATTGCTTCTCTACAAACAGTGAATGGTTTCTTTTATATAAGGAAACTATCAAACCAACACACTTATGGAGTAGCTCTATACAGAACCCAAAATAAGAGGATGTCTTTTAATTTGATTGTATATCTAATTGTCGAGAATGTCCATGAAAACATGAACACTCGTTTAACATTAATAAACAAATTTAAAGACATTCTCATTAAAATCAGGGCCGTGTATTTTATTTTTTCATATTTTTCAAACAAGAAAAAATTTCAAATAAATGTTTATCCAAAATCCAAAATCAACGTCGAACAGTTTCGAAATCTCAAAAGAGATTCATCATATAGTAACAACATGTCTACAGTTTCATGGAATTCTTATAATTCATTGAAAACTAATGTATTTAACATTAAGAAACAAATTTAATGACATTCTCACGAAAATTAGGGCTATGTATTTTATGTTTTTAGTTTTTTCAAACAAGAAAAAATTAAAAATAGGTGATTTTTCAAAAACTAAAGTCTAAGAGCATTGAATTCTCAATAGAGATTTACCATATAGTAACACCATGCCTACAATTTTTGAAATTCTTATAATTCGTGTTAAACGAATGTATTTAACGATCAAAAACAAATTTAAAGAAATTCTCACTAAAATTAGGGTTCTGTATTTTATGTTTTTGGATTTTTTAACTAAGAAAAAAAAATTAAAATAACTGATTTTTGAAAAATCCAAATGTACGTCGAATATTTTCGAAATCTCAAAAGAAAATCACCGTACAGTAAGACTATGCCTACAGTTTCTGAAACTCTTAAAATTCACGGAAAACAAGTGTATTTAATATTAAGAAGCAATTTAAAGACATTCTCACTAAAATTAGGGCTGTGTATTTTATGTTTTCGTATTTTTCGGGCAAGAAAAAATTTCAAATAGGTGATTATTCAAAAACTAAAATCAACATCGAAGAGTTTCGAATTCTCAAAAGAGATTCACCATACAGTAATAGCATGCCTACAATTTTATGGAACTCTTACAATTCATGGAAAATGAATGTATTTAATATTAATAAGAAAATTTAAAAAAATTACTAAAATTAGGGCTTTGTACTTTATGTTTTCGTATTTTTCAAGCAAGAAAAAATTTCAAATGGGCGATTATCCAAAAACCAAAATCAATGTTGAAAAGCTTCGAATTCTTAATATAGAGATTCACCAAATAGTAGCACTATGTCTACAAATACTGAAACTCTTATAATTCATGTAAGCGAATGTATTTAACATTTTCACTAAAATTGAGGCTGTGTATTTTATGTTTTTGGATTTTTTAAACAATAAAAAATTTGAAATAGGTGAATTTCTTACTGTTGGAGATGAGCCAATGAAGCTGAACTAAAGATTTGAAATAATTTCTCCAAAATAAAGCTGAACTTATTTTTTCAGTCAAATTAGAGCTTATCTCTTTCTATTTTGGGGATTTTCAAGTAATAAACCAAAAAAAATATTAAATAGTTGAAATTAATACCGTTAGAAAAGAGAAACCCATATGCTCCGGTGAAGTAACACAAATATTTTGGCAAAGAGCTTCCCAAGTGGGAATACTAAATCAACGTCAAATTCCTTCTCCTTCCTCCTTCATATACGCGATCTCGAATGTAAGTACATTGTGTTTTTTTTTCTGCAACCCACGACTCCGACAATGATAACAATAGGGAATCCAAAACTCCGGCCACTGCAAACAACGATTTTGACGACTGTATTCGATGATATGGAAGATATATTCGTCAGACAAAATATGCAAGATGTGTTTGATGGTAAGGATTGAAATCCCAAAATATTTGGAATTCAAAAAGTTTTAGGAAAGGTTTGGTTTTTAAAATTGGCATTAATGACACTATGGTAACTGATAGCAAGAAATAAGTGATAATTTTGATTCCCAAAACTAGAGGTTTCTTCATCTTCCTCATCTAAAAATGGCTTTTATGACTTTTTCCTAACCGATGTACTTCTATCTCAATTATTTTAATAAATGTATTTTTATCCTAATAAGTTCATATAAAAGTACTAGCCTCCCTAAGCCCCTGTTTTTTGGGGTCATAAGTATTGGACATTTAAATAACTTGGCTTACGGTCCAAACTTGAGCCCATAAAACGAGCTTGTTAGTATTGCACAGTAACCTTGAAGTTGGGTCCTCTATACGATGTATCCTTGAGTTGAATTAAATTTTAGGTAATTCTTTATGTATCAAATTTGGGCACCAAAAATTGCACCAAACCAACTACAGCTGTTAGATCAATAATGGGACTCATGGATCCAGTGACTGCAAGTGATTTAGTGCATATAACATTACTCTTAAATTTTACAACTACTTTGATACAAGTTGACCCCAATATAATTTTTCTTCCGTACCATAGTCAAGATCCCTTATTATTTATTTAAATAGGACCATGACTCATTAAACTGTTGGATATACATTGAAGTTAGAGCATAGACTGTAGGAAGGGGTGCATGGAAAACTTAAGCCCATTCTCAAAAGCTACGGAGAAGAAGCAGGTCTTCTTAGGAAACACGGTGTAGTAATAGTTGTCAACTAATCTTCCAAGATAGTGAACCACTATAAATCGCATGTCTATTGATTTCCTTTCCATGTTATGATCTTCATGTCAATTGTATAACCATTGAGAGCCTAGTTGCCCTGACTAGGTATTTCAGTAAACTCCATTAACGTCCATTACAAATTTCCAATCTATTTTTCCCTTTTTGAGTCTCAAGCTTTGCTACACAACCTCGTAAATCACACTATCATAGTCTATCTTCAAACCCCAATGATCCTCGATGCCGCTTCTTGTTCTTTTATTTTATCACGTCTCAGTCTGGTGAACGAATAAGTAGTTCATAAGGTATCTACTCACAATTTTCTAATAAATATAAGGGGAGGTCTCTTTTTTATTTTTATTTTTTATTTTTGGGCCATAAGTATTGGCCATTTAAATAACAGATATGGTTTTCTTCATTAAAGGAACAAACTTCCAAAGTTTCATCAACTTTGAAGCTGATTTCTCGTTTTGATATCTAGCCAAATAGGACGTGTGGAAGTTTCGATCGAACAACGAGTGAGAGCGTTGACGAATTTTGCGAGAGAACTTTCACTGCTAAGGTGTCTCTCTTTGTTTGTTACAAGAAAAAAAGGTCTCCTAAAATAGGGAAATTGTTGATTTAATAAAAAATTCCATGAAAGAAGGAACTATCAAATTGGACAGTCCATGAATTATAAAAAAAGTGCATTTCAGTAAAAGGAAAATTAAAAAAACTGCATTGTGTACATAGACACAATACATTTCCACCTAATAATACTTATTTACAATACATTTTTTTAAAGATATTTTCTCACAAATAAGTAGTTCATAAGGTACCTACTTGCAATTTTCCAATAAATGTAAGGGGAGGCCTCTTTTTTTATTGTTTTGGGAGGGGAGGGGAGGGGAGGGGGGG